GGGGCTGAGAGGAAGGGGTGGGGGGGCGAGCCTGCCGCGTTCAGACACACTATTGGACCAAGAGGAGAGGACTGACGGCGGGGATCCGTGATGGTGACTCGCGGAGTTCTCCTCCATCCCTCCGCTGGTATGGGATGTACAGAGTGCCACAATTCATCTCTCGTTGCACGCCACTAAAAAAAAAAAAGAAAAAGAAAAATCACAACGCTGGTTTGTAAGGCTGCCAAAAGCTGCAACAACGCTGGTTTTTACGGTGCACTAGTGAGATGTATTACACATGTCAGAAGCAGATGAACAGCACTTTTTATGACATCCAAATCTGCCATAACACTGCTGTATGGTACTTTAGTGAGATGTATTAAGACGCTGCTCTTTTTCCATCAAAAGCCAAGAGTGCCACTTTTTTTTCCCCATCGAGAGAAAAAGCGCACCACTGTCAAAAGCTGATACAATGCTGGTTTTTAAAAGCTGCCATAACAACACCATACATCTATCATAACATACATACATACATACATATGTCTCCCTTGTGTGCAATATCATATGGTACCATATTTTATTTTATTTATCTTTTAGCATTTTAAATCATAGTTTCTATTATATGGATCTATAGTGTATATAGTGTGTGTATAGCTCTATTGTATTGCATATCTCACCTCTTCCTAGTTATACTTCCTTTGCTCTCTATTTCTTCCTGTCACTCTTTTTGGTGCTCTTTCCTGTGTCTGTGCTGCTGCAACAAGTGAGTTTCCCCATTGGAGGTGAAAAAATAAAGTGTAATCAAATCTAATATCCATCCATCCATCCATCCATTATCTATACACTGTTTAATCCTCACTAGGGTCGCGGAGGGGATGGATCCTGTCCCAGCTGACTTAGGGTGAAGGCAGGGGACACACTGGACAGGTCACCAGTCTATCACAGGGCTACACTTAGAGACCTAATCTAATTTAATCTAATCTATACAGTACTTCAGTGAGATGTTTTTTCTATGCTTTCAAAAGCTGCCACAATGCCGATTTTCACAGTGTTCCAGTGATTTTTAGGCCAAGAACAAGCTACATTTTTTACACTGTCAAAAACTGGCATGATGTCATTTTTTACAGTGCTCCAGTGAAATGTATTAAAGGCGTTGATTTTTAGGCCATGAAAAGCTGTGTCAAATGTGTCAAAGGCTGCCATAACACTGCTTTTTAAGGTGCTCTAGCGAGATGAACTACAAGTGTCAAATACAGATCGAGCAGCACCTTTCACGACATCAATTGCTGCTGGTTTTTACGGTGCTCTCATGAGATGAATTGAGACACTGATATTCAGTGTCGAAGGCAGAACGAGCGCCACTTTTTACGCCACCAAAAGCTGCTGTAACAACACTATACAATGCTTTAGTGAGATTTATTAAGATTCTGCTTTTCATGCCATTAAAAAGCCAAAAGAGTGACTATTTTTGCCGTACAAAGCAGAAAGAGAACCACTTTTTACACTGTCAAAAACTCTTAAAATGCTTCTTTTTACAGCGATTCAGTTAGATGTATTAAGATGCTGATTTTTACATCATGAAAAACAGAAAGAGTGCCACTTTTTATGTCACCAAAAGCTGCCACAACAACACTATACAGTGCTTTAGTGAGACTGTATAGGACGCCACTTATGTTGTCTAAAGCTGCCATAATGGTGCTTTTCAAGACCCTTAAGCGAGATGAATTAAGATGCTGCTTTTTGTGCTATCAAAAGCCAGAAGAGCACCACTTTTTACACTGTCAAAAGCTGGCATAATGTCACTTATTACAGTGCTCCAGTGAGATTTTTTACAATGCAGATTTTTTGTGTCAAAGGCAGAACAAGTGTCATTTTTTGTGTCATAAAAAGCTGCCATAACCACACTATACAGTATTTCAATGAGATGGTTTAAGATGCTGCTTTTTTGAACACTGACAAAAGCTGCCAAGATGCAGATTTTTACGGTGCCAAAAGCAAATCTAGCTCCACTTTTTAAGCAGTCAGAAGCTGCCATAATGCCGCTATACAGTACTTTCGTGAAATGTCTTAAGACGCTGCTTTTTACAGCATCAAAAGTCAAAGTGTGCCACTTTTTTGCCATCAAAAGTCAAAAGAGCACCACTTTTTACATGGTCAAAAACTGGCACAATGCCACTTTTTACAATGCTCCAGTGACATGTATTAAATTATAAAAGTAATGTAGTAAAGATGATGCTTTGTAGGGCATCAAAAGCTAAAAGAGTGCCACTTTTTATGCTGCCAAAGCTGCCTTGCTTTTTCAAGAGACCACTGCTTTTTATAGTGTCAAAATCTGGCATAATGTCGCTTTTTTTTTTTTTACCACACTCTACTGATATGGATAAAGATGGTGCTTTTATATCATCAAAAGTAGAAGGAACACCACTTTTTACACTGCCAAATGCTGCAAAACCGACACTTTTTACAGCGCTCCAGATGTATAAAGACACTAATCTTTAGGCTATGCTGTCAGAAGCTGAACGTACTTCAGTTTTTACAGTATCAAAAAAGTGGCATGTTGCCACTTTTAACAACTATCCAGGGAGATGGACTGAGACTTTTTAAGCCATCAAAAGCAGAACAGGTGCCCTTTTTTGTGCCATTAAAAGCTGGCATATTGCCACTGTTTTTTGGCGCGCTAGTGAGATGTATTAAGACACACCATTTTTACACCATCGAAAGATTAAAGAGTGCCAATTTTAAAGCACCTGAAAGTTTTTAAAATGGCAAAAGTGAAAAGAGCACTGCTATTTAAGGTGCAAAAGTTGGCACAACTCCAGTTTTTACAGTACTCAAGTGAGATGTATTAAGATGTTGTTTTTTATGCCACCAAAAACCAAAGCAGCATTGATTTTTAAACCATCAAGCATTGGAATATGGTTGGTTTGTATTGTGCTCTAATGACCTGTTTTTAAAAAATGTATTTATTGCTTTTGATGATGTCAAAAGCAACGTTTTGATTTGTATCCCGTGCATGCACATGCGAATTACAGCACTTTTGGCTTCCCATATCTTACTCCCGCTGTCCACGCCCCCCTGATGTTCACGCGCACTCTCTCCCTCTCTCTCTCTCTCTCTCTCTCTCTCTGTCTCCCTTTTCTCTCTCTCTCACCCCTCTCACGTCACTGAACGACGTCTGTATTCGAGGACACCTTGACAGCCTCCCACAGCATCATCATCATGCTCATCATCATCTTCTCTCTCACACACATACACACACACACGAACGCGCGCAACACAGGCATACACACACACACACACACACACACATATCTCTGTGTGTGTGTGTATATATATATATATATATAATTACACACACAAACTCACACACACAACCACATTACACACACACACAAACTCACAAAAGGCGCGCTCATTTCTTCACATGCAGCGGACTGTTGTGAAAATGCGATGTAAGGTCGCGTCTCGCCATAAATTATGAACCCCTCTTGAATTTAAATGAAAAGCGCTGCCTGAAAGAGACTTTTTTTTCTTGCATGCGCGTGGGCTGGCGGGTGCTGTCATTCGCTGTGGTGCTGAAGCTCGCGGTGCTGAAAGGACAGCTCCACGCGCGCCTACACAGGCTCGCAGACACTCACTACCTGCTTCCTTTTAAACTCGAGCGATGACAGGTCAGATGGAAACCTAAGGCACGGAATTTAGAAAACCGCATGTCCCCCTTATGTTTCTCGGCTCCGGCAGGAATCACTGCTTGCGATATCCCCGCCCCCTCCCTATACGGAAAGTTGAGTTTATAACGAGCCCCTACAATATCCTCACCGATAGGCTATTTATAATTCAACCGCTTTATACTAGGTTATCCCGTTTCTAAATAGCAGGGCTTAACTGGGACCATTATGTTCTCGTTTCCAACCCACACTGTCACTCCGCGCCTCGGGCTAGAATATCGCCTTTGCACCAAAGCCTTGTGTTTGACAGAGACAATCCTCTCCGTAGACACGCTTCATGGAAAAAACAGAGGTTTTTCAATGGTTCGTCCTCGGCTACGTATGCTGTGCGTAGCGCCTCGGAGGCACACGGCTTGTGATCGACAGGATTCAAGCAGGATGAATGACAATTTATATTAACAGAGAAATTAACCTACAATACAACTTCTGAGTGTTTGTCAATCTCATGTGAAGTATGTATGGAGCTCAGTCTGCATAATGACACAATAGATACTTTTTTACTTCATTTGCTCAGAATAAAAAATCCAAAACAGCCAACATCGGTTTATACCAGGGTACCTCCAGACATTTTCAAGTGGCAAGATGGAGCCACAGAAAGTAATTTTGTTATGCTGTTGTAGAACATAAGCTATTTGAAAATCATGTCAGTATGAGAGCTAAGAAATAATAAACTGACATTTCGTGTTATATAGTGAGTTACCAGCTATCTGATGTACATGCACTGTAAAACATGACGCTGTTTTGTTAAATTACAGATATTGACTGGTATGACAGCATTTAGAACAACAACAGCAACAACAGCAACAACCACAAAAACAACAACAAGCCAAAACTAAAGTGTAATCAATGTCTAGATCTGAATCTGAATTTAAATCAGCAAAAAATCAAATCGTTTCACAGACATTTGCCATTATATGAAGGGAAGTTTGTGTGTGTCAAGGACTGAAAAAAAGGTAAATAATTTTTAAATAGATTTTCCAGGATCTTTTTTATTAGACTTTTTTGAAATTTAAAATATGAATTGACATGTAGACTTTTGTGTTCACATCAAAAATCAGTATTATTACAAATGCTATAAAAGTACATTGTTTAACTACATTTAACAGATATTTGTCATTACTTTCACAATTTTT